CATTGCCTCCCACTATGCGGTTGCGCCTAACGATCCGCACATAATTAATTTTTGTTTTGTTTTTGTTGTTAATTTAATGCAAGAGGCATATATATACATATGTGTGTTTTGCTTCCAGTTATTGTGATTTGTATATAAATATAACTTTTTGACACACTAGGGCGAGCCTAGCATAACATGTACGCTCCCTGCGTGCGCATATGTGTGTGTGTGTGTGTGTGCGATCGTCTTATAGCGCGCAGATTTGCTACTTCGTAGCGCTGAATATCGCATGCGGCACTCGTTTAACACATACATACATATACATACATACATTTGATAGCAGTAATTGTAGTTTATGTTGTTGTAGTGTAGTATTAGTAATATATGCCTTGACTTTTGATAATTTTTTCTTTTATTCCTTTTTAAATAATTTAAGAGTATTTAATTAAATATTAAGTTAGTATACGACGCACTGGTTGTGAGAAAGTAGAAATAATAAATGTTATTATTACAAAAGTATTGAATAAAATTCACGTATGTTGTTGCTGGTGTTGTTTTTCGTTAGCTTTGCGGTTGTTACAGTTACGGTTGCTGTTGTTGTTGCATTTGCGGTTTTCTATCTTATACTCATTCATGTGGGCAATACACAAATGGACGTATGATTCTTTGTTTTTTTTGTTTTTGTATTTTCCATTACATTGCATTTGTAATTTGTTGCCAATTATCTTAGCTGCTCTTTTACTTTCAAACATTTCTGCACACAAATGGATTTATATCGGAGAAATGGCGGCTTGGTGGGCATGATTTGACGCATGTATGTGTGTGTGTATGTGTGTTTCAACAATGCGGAAGTGGATTTAATCTTCCAGCTGCATACTATTCTATTGTTTTTTTTTGTTAGTGTAACTGGCAACCTGGCAACTACAGTTCGAAAGTACAGATATATGAAGATACGAGAATTACAAAATTAATAGTCGAGTTTCGAAAAATAAAAATTAAAAATCCTAGCCTTAAGGAAATAAGAAAATTATATGCATTTACATTGGTTTTGTTTTTGTATTCTAATTTAAATAACACAACGAATTATACACTTATGATGCATGGCGGATGTCGTAGGAAGCGAAAGGGGCGTGGCATGGCGCTGGCTATGAGAAGCATGATGAATGGCGAGCGGAGGGAAGAGAGCGCATGAAGTATTAAAATTATATTCGAATTCGAAATTAGTGCGAACAGCAGTGAGGAAAAGGGATTAAATTGGTTCAGGCAGAATAGAAATCATTGTACTAATGGAATTAAAAAATGTATTAATATTATTGAAAACAAAAAAATTTAGAAGTTAACAATAAAAAAAAAAAGTGTCTTCAAAAAAACTTTCATAAAAAAAATTAAGTTAAAAAAATTTTATTTAAAAAAATAATTTTAATTAAAATAATTATTTTTAAAAATATTTTAATAGTTGAAAATAATTATTTTAATTTTAATAATTTTATTATAATTATTATTTTTAATTACAAGAAAGTAAATTTAAAAAAATTAAATTAAATAAATGTAAATTAAAAATTTTCACTTAGTTTAATTTTTTTAAATTTAAATTTTCAACATTTTTAAATAAAATTTTTTTTTATTAAAAAATTATCGATTTCCATTTACAGTATATTACATATACTTTTTTCGCGTGATTTTGCTTTTATTATTTACTGCTCCATTCACAAATAAGTATAACCCCGTTTAGTTTAGTTCGTTACTAAAAATTAGACAATATTTAATGGACTTGACAACGCACTGCTATTTATAAACTAAGTTTGCTTTTATTTACCTCTTCGAATTTAAATATAATGCATCATGAAATGTTCGTTAAGTGTTTGATGATTTATGTTAGCGTTTGTGTATGTATGTGTGTGTGTGTATAATTCGTTTGTATTGAGTTAGTAAACTATTTTCTATATATTTTTAATTTTCAGTTTTCTTTTTTGTCATTATTATTTTTTCTTATGATTTTTTTATTATTTTTTAATAAAAATCCTCTCTTGCTGTATCCTTTTTGTAGTGTTTCCATTTCTGTGGTTTAAATGTGTTTTTTTTTTATTATTTTCATTATTTAATATTTTTTTTGTGTGTTTAATTATTTTTAGTTTTATTGTTTAGCTCATTCAATTCAATTAATGCTTCGAAGATGTTAGGCGTTGCATCCTAATTTCTCATCGTTTTGTTTGTTGTTGTTTTTTGTTTTCCGTTTTACTACACATTCTGCTGTCACCGTTGTTGTCGCAGTTGCTTTTGAGGCTATTGCAAGCGTACGCATTTTTTATTTTATATATTTTTATTTTTGTTGGTTTTTTCTTTGTTGTCGACCCATTAGGATGTTCCATTGACAAGTGCCTCCCGCTTATTGTTCTCCTGTGGTTGTATCGAATCTGCGTGATTGTTTCTGTTTTTGGTGCGTCGTTGTTTTGACTGCTGCGACTGCTGTTGTTGTGGTTGTTGTTGATGATGCTGTGGCTGCTGCTGCTGCGACTGCTGTGGCTGTTGTTGTTGCTGTTGCTGCGGTGGTAATTGCTGTTGCTGCTGCTGCTGTTGTTGTTGTTGTGGCGGCTGTGGTTTCTCAATGTTGCCTTTGATTGCCACAGTACTGCCGTCTTTGCTGTTTACGCTCTGTTGTTTCGATCGCTCCGACGAGCTACCGGCACCACCACCACCGCCAACACCACCACCACCACCATTGTTGTTTTTATTGTTATCTGCGTTTTGTGGTTGCTTGCTTGGCTGGGATTTGTTATTGGTAACCCCACCATTCGCTGCAACAAAAACAAACGTGATTAGTGCATGAAAATCTCTCCAAAAACTAATTAAACGATCAATAAATATCAAAATCAAAAAGCGACACATTATTATTAATGGCCAACAGGTTGAAAAGTAGCTAAACTTTTGCCTAACAATCAAGGCCTTGTTCTTTTAATCGTTATCATGCGGATGCATGACATCCACAATAAATGTTTCGTCGACCTTTTTCTCAAGCTTCAAAATTTTTTTAATACCTATGAAAAGATTTCACTTCAAATATCCAGAAGGCTTATAGTGGTTTTCACACGCAGTATTATTATTTGCTAATCGTTGTTCGTTAAATTTGTTACAGCTTGTCAACTGTGAAAACACTTCTCTAAATCAGTTGTTAATCGTTAAATTTTTTCATTCAACACAGCTGATATTGAAAGATTATAACAATTATAGACAAAAAGAAAAAATGAATAAAATAAGTGCGAAATCGAATATAATTAAGCATTTAATTGAAACAACATTTCGACGAAATTAATGTTAATCGTTAATTGAACGAGAAGATGAATATGAAGTGGACAACGCGTGGTACAAACTGTATGGAGATTTGTATCATGTATGTCATGAAGTATCGAAAGGGAGTTGTAAATTTTTGTTTCAAAATCAATCCATTGGCACGAACATATTCTGACGTCAATGAATGAGAATCACTTCCACCAAATCTTACAAGTAAATCGGAAAGAATTTAATCATTTTTTAACACTGACGAATCGTTCACAAAATGCAAGAGTAAACAGTTTTCTGTCCAGCTACAAATCGCTATAGTTTTATTCAGGTTGGGTTCATCAGGAGGAGAAAGTGCGTCGGTCTCGTATTGTTAATTTTTTAAAAACAGCTTTAATGTTTTTCGGGACAAAAATGGCTTGCAGGTTGATTCTGCATATCCACTCAACAATATTATAGACTGATTACTATTTCACCAAGTAACGAGTAATTGCTTAAAGTTGCCGGCAAGGTAAAGTGTTATTCGTTAAGCTGGCATTTTGTTAAATTTACAAAAATAAAATACAAGTAAAAGTTGACCGAATAACGAATAGCAGATAACAACACTGCATGTGAAAACCCCTAATATTTTCAAACTAAGTTTTAACTGTTATGTGCCGTTAAAAAATAGTAAACGTATCGTAAAGCTGAGAAAATTGCTTCTAACTCCATATTTATGCCCTGGACAGGATAAATTAATATAAATGATCAGGATGACAAGACGAGTTGAATTCCGAGAGACTGTTTGTATATCTGTTGGTCAGTCTGTGCAAGGGATAACTTAAGTAAAAATTAAGATATCAATGAAACTTGATGCAAATGTTCCTTGGCAAACAAAAAAGTAAGGACGAGTTCGTAGATGGTCTAAATCGGACCACTGTCATGTCCACAAAACGCCATTAATCGAAAACAAATAAAGTGTGTCACATTAAGGAGAGGCAATTGCAATTTAAAAATCTTTAAAAAGTTGCCGTGGCCCCGCCCCACAATAAGTTTAATGTATATATCTTCCAAACCAATAAAGCTATGTCACCCAAATTTGCACAGGACATATTTTTTCAACCTTTTTTACGATAGTGGAATATAGGTGAAATCGGGTGATACCACCGCCCACTTTCCATATACGGGTTTTGTTAAAAACTACTAAAAGTGCCATAAATCAATAACTAAATGCGTCAGAGACATTAAATTTTGCATCTAGGATGGCACTCTTAGCTGACGCGAACTAAAATATAACAATAAAACTGAGTCTAAGATTATGGCATTCAATATAAGTCAAGAAGATACAAAATTTGATTGTAATTTTCTCACGATTTCATCGAATTATGGATGTTTAATTCTTTCGCAAAATTTGTTTATATAAATTTCGCCAGAGTCTAAAGGTATTTCGCGGGCTGTGATTCTTACAAGTTGCCAGATTATAAAATGTTCGGTCACACCCGAGCTTAGTCCATCCCTGCTTGTTTATTAAATTGCGGTAGACAGTAATAACGAAATTGTCGTTTACTATCAGTTAAAAGTTAACAATACGAATTTGAAACTAGACTCTAAAAAAATTTTTTTTAAAATAAATTTTGCATCGCGATTTAATATTTATGAAGCGCATTATTTTTTAGTTATTATCAAAATAGTTTGCCATTAAAATTAACATGTCACTTTTGGAAATTTAATTTGGCGACATCATACTCACTGTTATGAGCAGCGCTGTTATTCTTTTGCCGCCTACGTCTTCTTGAGCTACCCTCGTATGACGAGATGCTTTCAGCTAAAATGACATCGAAAAAAATAAATTTGCAATTTCTAATTAAATAATATACGGCGTACGCACCTCTTTCGACGCTGCTCAATTCACGCATGTCCTCACGCATATCATCATTATGATTGTGGTAATGGTCTCTACCGAGATCCCTGCCGTTCTGCTCTCTGCGTCCTATATTTTCAACACGTACGACAAAAGGGAAGAATGAAAGAACCAAAAAGTGAATTCAAACACTAGTGTTTGCGCTTATAACACTTGATATTTTACCATTTTGCTTACCACCGCCACCGCGTCGATCATTACCGCCACGATAGCCGCCGCCACCGCCGCCGCCGCTGCGATCGTTGTAACGATGGTCACCGCGGGAATTGTAATCATCATCGTCCCGACGGCCTACAAATTAAAACGCGCATAGAAATAAAATGTATATGAAAATGCATGTCAACGCTATACCTTGATGATAACGCTGGTTCCCGCCATTGCCACCGCCTCGACCTCTACCACGCCCGCGCGGTCCACCACGTCCCGAACGCACCGACTCAATATCACTGCTATACCCTCTCTCCGATCGTCTTGTGACGGGGAAATTCTGCATAGAACCCATTGTGGATTCTTGTATTGCGCGCAGTTGTTGATCGATCTCCAGTTTTTCCTGACGAAGCAGTTCCACTTCCTAAAAGAAATATGGCATTTATTATTCGACTGGAGACACAAACGAAAAATTATAATTTATGACGAAGAAACAAACCTTCAAATGTCCCAAGTGATATTCCAGCAACACTTTGGCATTTGAAATACTTTCAACGGTGCCAATGAACACAAACGGTACATGACCATGCTCACGTGGTATATTCTGATCCTGCTCATCATCGCCTGCGATCTGTGCGAATCCCAACGCATGCAATTTTCAAATATCGAACAATTAAACGAAAATTGGACTTTTTATAAATTATAACGCATACCTTAATTCGAAAGACACCACTTTTATCCACGATTTCCTGTATGATTCGACCGTTCTTGCCGATCACCTTGCCCACCAACTCTCTAGGAACCTGAAAGAATTCCTCGGCATATTCGAGCATCGCGCGTGCCCGCTGCACTGAATCCTCCGATTCGCCGGTGATTTTGAAAGTGCACGACTTCTCCTCCAATTCGATATTTGTAACACCTTCCAACAGGCGTGCCGCTTGAATATTGGCACCGTGTGAACCTATGGCCAAGCCCATCAGATCTTCGCGCACATGGAATTCATCGGTATAGCTGCGTGGGAAATAAAAGAGTGAAAGGTTAGAAAAATTTGTTATGAGCAGAACAAAATAGAAACTTTACGAATAATCATTATGCAAAACGAAGGATTACTCGCTAAATTTTAAACAGTCGTACTTGACAACAATTGTAATAATATAAGAAATCATATTTGCTCAATATATTCAAAGTATTTTAAACTGAAGGTAGTTTATACAAAATAAATATAAAAAGGTTGCCACTTGATTTTAACTATGCATTTTAAGCTAACATGTTTGTGTTTTAATAAGCTGCAATATACATATTTTTAGGGATTCCTCTCTAAAACAATTTTTAATTGTTTTTCAACTTTTGGAGTTGCCACCTGAGATAAAAAAATATTTGTTTCAAATAACTTGAAATTTACAACGTTGTGTAGGACAAAAGTGCAGATTTTCAAAAACTTGAGTTAAAAGAAAAGTTGAAACGAGTTACCACCCAAATTAGTTACTGAAAAATATATTAATTTTGAAGCAAAAAATCTAATTCGGGTATAAATGATCAATATTTGAAAAGTTATAACCAACATAAAACTTTATGACGTTGCCACTTGAGTCGAAATTAAACAATTATACGGAAATTTTATTTTAAAAAAAATTGGTTACTTATATAAAGCTGTTGGATTATAATTAGGTTAAAGGATCGAATAAAGTTAGAACTGAATATATTAGAGGTACAATTTTTTAATTTATAAATTGGTAAAGTTCTAGAGCTTTTAAAAAAATTACATGTCTAGTTTTTTCCTGAGATTGTTATTCTCATCCTTTTCGATTGAAAATTTTCAGAATAGGTATTCGTTTATTAAGACCCACATATTTATTCGGCTTTTAAACTTGGTTAGCAAAAGTTTTACTATTGTGAATTGCTTAAACGTAAAATAGTTGCCAAAAATGGAAATTCAGGTTTTTTATACCCTAAACATGGTATATTAAGTTAGCCACGATGTTTGTTAAAAAAAATATATAAAAGACCAGTGTAACGAGCTGAATCGATTTAGCCAAATCCGTAGATCCGTCTGCCTGTATATACTCGAACTAGTACCTCAGGTTTTGAGATGTCGATCTGAAATTTTGCAAACGTCTTTTTCTCTCCAAGAATCCGCTCATTTGTCGCCAATGCCGATATCATACAACACATAGCTGCCATACAAACTGAACGATCAAAATCAAGCACTTGCATGAAAACTTATTTATTTGTGAAAGATATTCTAGTTTCGGTACAGTCTTAATTAAATTTTTTTATTTTTTTTTTTACTAGAAAAGTTTTTTATATATTGATTTTAATTATTTAAGACTTTAAGTTAATAGTTAATAAAATTTATTTTGAATGAAAAGGAAAATGTTTTCTCCAAAGGAAGAAACGTGTAAGTATAAAAAATTCGAATTATTTGTACGATTCGCTACTCTCTAACGCTTGACGTATCAAATACTGCTAAAATATTTTAATAAACTATTTAAGTACTTTTCATGAGTGATTCCTATATTAAATGTGATATTTTAAAAAGGGGCCAACTGATAGCTTTATATCACAAATTAAAATCCGCAAAATACTACAAATCCTTTCCTCTAAGTAGCTACACCACTTAAATAAACTCACCCACGATTAAGCAGTTTAGTCGATTCCAGCTGACGCGCAGCCTCCTCAGTTCTTTTCAACAGCATAACCTGCAAATTTGTAAAATGTAAATCTTTTATACTTCTTGTTTCTTTAAATAAAATAGAGCGTATTTAAAACAGTTAACCAGTTACCTTCTGTGCCAAATTACGAAAATGCATATCTTTCAGCATGCTGGCACGTTTCTGAGTGTGTTCCCATTTCGAAATGACAATAAGACTGTCCAAGTCGCGATTGTATACACACACGCCGGCACATATTGTACGCTGAAATTCCTTGTGAATACCATCTTTTTGCGCTCTGTAAAATTTCGATAAGAAAACAATATGCACAAAAACAAATTATGTTTGATTATTAGCGAAATTGTAATGATAATGATAACGATAACAACAGCAACAAAAACTCACTCCTGTCGCAATTCCTCGGGTACAGGTATCGAAAACTGATAGAATGACTTGGATGTCAATGGCGGATTTTGATTTTTGATACGTAAACGCTTCAGTTCGCAAATTTCAGTATACGGTGTCTCAAAGCCTATGTACGCAACAGCGCAGATTTCAGCCTTAATCATTTTAATGGAAGCAATCCACCAACCACAGGACTCACGTTCCGTCGAACGGGTGAACACTTCCACTTCCATGCCTTCCTCAAAGGCGGGCGGATTCTCATTTTCTTCTGGCGGGAAGCGCACATTTGAGAAGGGATATTTTTGTACATCGGGACAGCTGTATTATGCATTCCAAAAGGATGATCGCAAACCAATAGTGAGTGAAAAGAAATACAAATGTATTAGTAAAATAAAGACATGGTACAAAATAAACAAACTTAAGGCGTTAATTGACAGCCAGAGGCAATTAGTGGGTTGATTTTTAAATTCAATGAAAAATTAATTTTGAAGAAACAACGTGTGGGCCTGCCAGCGAGCAGCAGCAATAGTTGATGTGTTGCCATTTTTACATGCAACAACAAATATCTAAGGGTCTTCAAAATAATTCAAATTTTGCGTCCAAATGAGTTATAAGTTTTGGACAGGTGTTTGCATCGTTCCGAAATTAATATACATTGATATTTGCCGCTTTTCGATGTTAGCGCAACAATAACAAAAGCCGCAACTTGAATAGGAACGTACAAACGGCAGCGATAGTTTCGAAGAATGTGGCGACCAACAAGTGCTACCAATACGCAAAGATGTATAACATTGCAAACAGAGAAATTAGAAACAAGTAAAGTAGAGCATAAGAGGCGAAGATATGTCTCTTGGCGACTTTTGGCATAATGCCAACCAAATGATCGCATGCGACTATGCTGCTCGATGGCAAGCATTACCGAATGCGCAAGCAACCATATACACGCTACTGATTACTGCAAGGAGGGGGCAAGTGTGCGGGTTTTGCAACGTAACAGCCAACGACATTAAATCTTAGCCGGAAATATTTAATTTTTCATCTATTGAACACACCACTTTCTTTGTCGCTGTGGAGGTAATTTCAATATTTTTCTTTGTTCAAATAAAAATTCAACACAAAAATATGTGGAATTGTAAAAATGGGTCAAGTCGTAATGACTCGAATGCGTCATTTATTTCTGTGTTACACGGCACATAGACCAAAATAAGATTCGGGCGTGATGTATTTTTAAACACAGTTCTATGACCACTGATGGTTCGACATATCACACATTTTTTAGGCTGCGCAAAGCAAACTTTACAAGCTTCCAAAAACGACAGTAATCACAAAAATATAAGACACAGACGGCATGCTCCTAATCGCAACTAAAAATAAAACTTCTATTCTTATGCCACGTTCTGACATGTTTCGATGAATACTATATATAACGATATGTTTTGCGCGTTTTTATGTGCGTGCATATAATAATGCAATACTGAATATTTACAAAAAAAAAAAAATACTTGATTTTCCTTGTTTAAACCACACTAAAGTAAAAAAAAAAAAAGAGTGAAATTGTTTAATAAAAGCAAAACATTGCTAGATACTGCAAAATTTCGTAAAACTTACCCGTCAACTTCAACAAATACGCCATCATCACACACTGCCGTTGCCCTTCCCTAAATTAATAAATAAAATGATATTAGTATATAAAAAATATTGTATGCAATTATATTCCTATAATATAAAAAATAAAAACTTTAACCTTTATAAGTTAGGACAGCTATTTCTAATATATATATATATGTATATATTTAATAGAAAAGCTTTTATGTACACTCGACTCGGTGGAGTATAATAATTAAAATTTAGTTTTATAGTTTTCTTCTTTTTTTAGAATTATACATGTCATCTTTTCATCAACTATGAGATAATTGATCTTTCCATAGCTTCTCTCAAAGCTGCCGAAACAGTGCACGACCGCAATTCGTTGCGCAGTGCTCAAACCTGTTACTCTACTTCGGATATTATCAATTTATCTCATAACATCAAAATTCAGTTCCCAAATGGAAAGAGAATGTCGATGCAAATTCTATCAAAAAATTATGCACGGATTTGCACTACTGTTTACAAACAAAGTAAGAAATCAAAGAATATCCAAATTAAAAAATTAAGTATAAACAGTTCACAAACATTTCAACTTAATCAGAAATTTTTAAATTCACAAACAGTTTTGTTGTTTAATGATGGTAACCTCATTCCTAATTTTAGCTGAATTTCGGTGATGTTATCCAAAACCTTATTGCACGTTCAACAAACGAGAAATTGCGAAAGTGTTGGTTCACAGGGAAAGTAGTGATAGATGAGGATCGGGTGGCATGCGGAGAGACAACATAAGCTTCAAAAATTATACGTCGAGATATATATATTTTCAGGGAGCGCAAGGCAGATGTTTCGGACGTCGGAATATCTAATTAAAAAAGTGCCAATATCGAGAGTCCACATTTAATGAATCTTATGGAGCAACGCAAATTCTTTCAATAAATCTTCGGTCATTCTATGCTATAACACATCATTGTTTGATAATATTCATAAATCTTCAAATTTACCACCCACATAATTTAAAATAAATACATGTTAGTAGTATTCTCGACAGACAAGCCGGCTAATATTATATATGAAAATTGTAAATGTAAACATAAACATATGACGCTACGCTGGCGGTGCATAAATCGTTCTTTCTATATATTATATTACAATTATGTTTGTATGATTATTTCTTAGCGATAAGAAAACTAACTTATAAAATTCATTTTAAGCTTGGTGAAACCCCAATTAACATGGAGATAGAATAATAAACGATAAAAAGCGTCACAAAGCAAATTAGTTAGTTTTATATGCTTTGGCGCTTCGTTTTTAACGAATAACAAAACAAGGTGATGCAGTAGCTCAGCGGATTTGCAAGTAAATCTATAAACAAACATACAAACAAACAAAAACACTGGAACGAGAAACAAGCAAGGTGGGTAAAAAAAAAACAAAAAAAAAAGAATAACCCGCCGCAGCAGCATTAACGTAGTCAAAATCGTGGCGGCAGTGCTAATCGCGGCCGGCACATTTTTATATTCACACACGAAAACAGATAGAATGATAAAACCAACGAATACGAAGAAAAAGGCAAGATTGGAGAAGCATTTGATGAAAGAAGGCACATAAAGCTCAAGCAGACAACAATAATGCCAACAGAGAGCAAATAAGTTCTATAAAGTCGACGTTGACGTTGGCGTCAGCGCCACTGCCACCGACACCGCTATTAGTGTAACAAGCCCCAGTCGTACCGCTAGCAGACGAAGTAGATACACAAAACGAATCTGCAAGAAAGAGTATAGCAACGAAGTGTCGTATAATGACAGAAATGCCAATTTACTACGGCGAACAGATGAATCGAGGAAGGTACATAGATAAATAGGAATGTACGTATATCAATTTATTTGTACGAATGTTCGATATAAGGAATATTGAAAGTGAAAATCCTTGTGTGCGTACCATACTAAGAGGTCATACATAGGGATCAAGTCCACACTAATGCGAATGTATCAAACGCACATATATACTCGTATTGTCCCTCTAACACCTCAGTGGGCTGAGTAAGCCGCCCGACAGCAGGCAAAGAGGCGCATAATAAAATATATTTTTTCTAAACAAATCAAAAGGGTGGGCCATTTTTGCATAGAGGATGTTGTGTATAAGATAAAAAAAAAATTGTCACGTTCAAACACAGGTTTTACTATTGAAATTTGAATTACTGTTTTCGCTGTTAAGGAAACGAAGCAAAAAAAAATCTCTAATATATCCATAAACAAAAACAATAAAACCACAAACAATGTCGCCAAAATATGATGACATCCAATGCTTGCTTCGGCGGCAACAGCAACACGAAACACTCCGCTCACATTTACTTATACGCTTAGCCATGCTCAAAACACCGCTAATAATGCTGACACAATCAACAAAGATTTATTAATAAAACAATTAAAATTAGACATGAGTGTCGGCTGACTGACATGACCACGCACTCCAGATATCTACATAGTTTTAATTTTGACTGCAGTTTTGATTCAGGATATATGCAAATGTTTCACGAATTAACTATGGTATGTAAAAATATATCAATATAAAGGATGTAAAATAATCTTACCTTGTAGTAGGCGCCATTGTCGAGCCTTACTTCGACCATTAAATCGTCCATTTTGTTTACTTATTGGCTTTCCGCTTTAATACAATATAATTTTGTAAATTGCGATCCAAAGTAAATATGATGAATGATAATCCAAATACGCTTTATGTTTAATGCAAATATAAATAGTTCAAATTAGGCAAATAAAAGCTCTAAACGTAGGATATTCCCTGATTCTGTCCTCCTACAAATCCGGCGTAATACTAATTATTAACGCACCTTCTCCTGACTTCTGGCTTAAATCAATTTACTTCAGTCTTTCGATTTTCTGCTTTATGCGCTTTTAAACCACTTAATCTTATATCCGTATTATGATCCTTATAATCGTATTCTTTTATACTTCTTCCTGTAAATTAGTTGTTTTAGTCTAGTCGTTGCTGCCGCTCCTGCAGAAAAAATTATCACACAAAATAATATTAGAAATCAAGATATTTATAAGCTCGTCTATAAACGGTATATAGTTTGTTAGCAAAATTGTCTTTTCCTGCAATTTAATTCATATTTTTAAGCATTCACGTTGACAGCAAAAACATGCTTTTTTTTGCTTTTCCCACAGTAGACAGAAATATTTTACGCCTACAAAAGGGGCGGCGCAGTTTGCGTCGCTGCCAACACTAACTACCGCAGTCACAAACGTCACCGTCGCAGTCACCGCTGACAATAGAACAGCGGAGCCCCAACATTCGTTTACGCATTAAGAAAAGTCAAGTAAATTGCAAATTATAGCACATTTCGGAACTTCAACAAACACATTCAAATATAAAAATTGTCGCATTGAGTTATCTAAATATTTTACAAAAACCTATACAAATTTTCACCCGAATTTTCTTGAAAATTTTTCACGCCGAGCCTTTGCTTTTATTCTTCCGTTCGTTTCTTATTCTTTCACGCACACTTCCAAGCCGCTGTGCAAATTTTTTCGCCCAAAGAATCTGCACATTTTTACTATAAATTCAACGCACCTTTACCGTTTTCAGACGTCAATTAATTAGCTTGTTCTATTTTTACTATTTTTTATTTTTAATTTACTGAATTTTACTGCAAGTTCACAAATTTTCGTTAGATTTTTTCTGTACGTCGAGCGACGACCAACGGCGAATGAACAGACAAAACGGGAACGGCAAAAAAATGTGCCTTTTTAATCCGCTTTACTTACAAAATCACCACATAACCCTGCAATTTAGGGATATTCGGAAAGCAGTAGGCGGTTTAATGAATTTTGTTTGTCTGTTTTATTTGCTATTCGCTAAAGTTGTCTTGACACATTCTTGCTTCGTACTCACATAGAACTTGGTTTAATTAAAGCGTACAATACCAATAAGTTATACTGTTTAAATTCCGAATATACCAGAGAAACTATTTTCAGTTTTAAAGCATTTTTCTTAATTTTATTTTTACTATTGCATCACTGTGTACGAAGTATTCGAGAGCAACAATGTATAGCGTAATAGAAACAGCCATCTCTTTCGCACTTGAAACAAATAATTGACATTTGAATCACTTTATTGCGAATAGTTGGCTGCTATTCACAATAGTGGCGTTCGAAATGTTTAATAAAATTTATTTGGTATGGCCTTGGTAATATGAATTGAACTGTATCAATTAAGATTTGTTGCATTATGAGAAAGACATAAAAGTATTGAGTTGAATACTGCATCATTGCTTAGTGGGTTTTTATAGTCATTTACAGCATATATATTACATATATTTTTCCTAAGCGCTTGCTAGGCACATGCTGCTGCTCTTCGGATCGATTTCGAGTTAACCATCAGTCAGCAGTTATTGGCCATGGTGGAAATCAAGAACCGGATTTCCGTTTTACGATAAGAACGCGGAAGCGCAACTGAAAAATAAGGTTAGGAACGGCGACCAGCTGGCTATAGTGAACACGAAAAGAAGCGAATAAGAATAGCTCGTATTTAAGTTCTTTACAAGATTTAGCGAAGACAATTATGTACCCGGAGATCAGTCTAATGCAGAAATCTTGCGTACTTATAATAGATACGTATGTATATGTATATTTCATAACGGCTATGGTAATGTAAGAATGTAAATCGATTTGTCAATTCTAACGACTTAATTAAAAGTATATGTACTTCAAGTCCCCTGCTCTATATTTCTTACTTGCAGCCTTTGTTATTTACACACGATATTAACTCTAATGACTCACATTTCTTACTTTTGACAGCACAGAAAACATTAAAATAATAACATGTGTACATACATATGTAAGCATGTATGTGCACATTTGTTTTCTTTGTAAAGAGAATTGCAACTCTACAAATGCTGTGTATGTATGTCTGTGTCGTCCTGCAATCAACTAATAACTATTCGGAAATGCAAATTCTGCAAATGAATTGGAAATTCTATTAACCTAAATAAAAAAAATTCCATTACCCTATCTAAAAAAAAAAAGGAAAAGTGGCGGACACGTGCCCCACGTACACAGATTGGATATGAATTTGTCACAATTTTTCTGTTGTGGCCGTCTTAATTTAAATTTTTGATTTACCGCTTAGCGTTCGCCCAGCATACGTGCATGTATATGTGTGCTGTTCGAGCACGCTCTTGCAAAAAGGTGCTTCCGAATGCAATTTACATGCATACGAGGGTATTTGAATTTATATATATACATACATATATATGTATGCACATGTAATGTAACGCGTGTTCAATTTTTTCGATATGTAAGTCTGCATATATGAGTTGTAAAACTGTATAACGGTTGGAATGGGGTCCCTACATAGTGCCACAGTGTAGTAATATAAAGAGGAGAGAGTTTTTTTTTTTGATTATTAACATGTCATTCAAATATATTTGTATATATGGCAGGAGGATACATATGTATATGTGGCTTACAAAAAATTAAAATTATGGGCATTAATACATATGGTACATACATATAGTATATTCTTACTTACACGCAAATTTATAACATAAAAATTCAGATTGAATTATTTGCTCATAGTTTGAATATTGAATACACAAAATTCACATTATTAAAGTCAGTAAGCTAACAGTTTCACTGACAAAGATGGATGTCGACGCCATTTGTAAACATTAAGATTTGTTATAAATAAGTTTCAAAATTTATTCTGCTTTAAACTATCTCAAACAACTTCTGTTTTGCAACATACTTTGTAGTATTTGATGTAAATTAGTTACTATATTGGTACCTTTTTTTCCTTTTACAAAATGGTGGCTACTCTAGCCTAATTATTCTTTAAGAGATTTACCTAAAAAATACCTCAACTTAAAACTTATTACTCAATAAAAAAACACTCTTTTACTTTTGCATTTAATTGAAGATATTATTTAGAATGATCCGATTTATTTGTTGCCATTTTGAGGGTTATTTCGTAATGACACTTTCTTCGAAACCCCCGTGAGAGGCCTATTGGCAAAAAACTCTGACAGCGATTTTCACATGCTGCTCTTGAGACGAATTTTTCACCAGCAAAATCATTCGCTACAGACAGGAAAAGGTAGTAATCACTTGGTGCCAGGTCCGAACTATAAAGTGGATGCAAACGAACCTCAAAAACAAACTCACGGAGCTTCTGGCCAGTTACTAGTAATGTGTGTGTCCTGACATTGGCCTGATGGAATACAATTCCTTTCATATTGGAAAAAGCTGGCCGCAAGTCCGAAATAAGAGTTTGGCCGTAGGAAACTTACAGTAGATGATTCCTTGGCAATCTCACCAAACACAAAGCAAGACCAGGGTTGCAAATTTTCAAAAATCAAAAAATTTAACAAAAATTTATTTTTGAATGACTATGTTGGGATAAAAGTGCCAATATATGGATGGTGGGTGTGGTCGACTAAGAAATTAGGAATGCATCGATTAATAGTTAGACATAATCACAACAGTCGGGTCTACGTAACCGGAACGGACCCGGATTTTATCCGGCCAAGGACTGTCAACGCGGCAGAACTCTGCCGCTACAACAACAACAACAATAAAATTAATAACCAAATATTGTACTACAAAATTTAGTACAGAGTACTGTAAAATATAACGGTATACACATATATTTTATATACTAACTGAGCTAGATTTTTATAAATTTGTTTAAAATTGTAAAAAAAAAACATTTACCGTTATAATTAACATATTTTCGGACTATCAACTGATTTGACAAGTACACTCACACATGTTTAGTACACCTGAAATTACTTAAGTACCTTACAAATCAAAATAATTTATAAAAAATCCAAATAACTTCAAATATTGTAAATTAAAATCCCATTTCATTCATGCATTATTGAAAGATTCTCTAAAACTCGAACGATAACACGACCCAACTTTAATTGGTACCAAACAACAAAAAGAAAACAAAAAGCTTTTGAACAGTCATAGATAACAACAAAAGCAACAAATTAATGTGTCGGAAATGCAGAAATTCATTAATGAATGGTGGAGTGTTTATTTGAGCAAGCGTTCTCTGCTCCATTTATATTAAACACAAACACATACATATACACAGGTATGAATGTATATGTGAAGAGTAGGTGTTCGACGTCATTTCGCTGACTATGGGTGTTTGTATATCGGACAGAGCGCAATCAGGCCGGCGGACAGTTGGCGCGATGATTATCCATTAATGTCAATTACAAGCGTCATGACAATGTCATTTGGTTATAAAGTAATTTATTTGCTACTTTTTCAAATGTCATGGAAAATGTGTAAACAACAATAAAAATAACAACAAATAAAAAACAAACCTATGTATGTGTATTTGTACCATAACTTGATGCACTCACATAAAAATATACTTTTGAAAACCTTTACTGTTATTTGTTTTTGTAAAATTATCAACCATTCCGTCAGCGGCTTTAGATGCCACCACCTTAAATACACCATTAAAATGTTAAAACTGTGCAAAACCATGGTTTTTATTATTTTAATTGGCCATTTACTAAATAACTGTTTATATGGCATTTAATAAGTGCTTTGTGGAAAAAACCTGGTAAGTCGAATTAAGCAATTGAAAGCATAAACAAATATTTTCGAAAATTAAAATAAATGTATTTTCATAAATTAGCTTACAATAACATAGCTCTACAAAAAAATATTTTTGTTGCTTTGGATATCTAGCAAATTTTGATGTTTTCAAGTTTCGGGTTGCAACGAAGGTAAAATACCTTTCACAAATACAAAATGTTATTTAAAAACAATTTATTGCGATCGTTCAGTTTGTATGGCAGCTATATGCTATGGTGGCCCGATAGCGGCGGCTCCGACAAATTAACAGCTTCTTGGAGTGAAAAGAACGTGTGCAAAAATTCAGATCGAGATCTCAAAAATTGTAGGACCAGTTCGCGTATATTCATACAGACGGACAGACGCACGGACATGGCCAAATCGCCTCACTTCATCACGCTGATCATTTAAATATATATTTTATAGGGTCTCCGACGTTTCTGGGTGTCACAAACATCGTGGCACACTTAATTTACTCTGTTCAGGATATAATTATGCGGAAGGTTTTCATAAAAATCAAACGTAGAGATATCTAGACTGACAGTCTACCAAATTACCACTCGTATTCAACGAAATTCCAAATCGCTCGGGATTTTAAAAGCCATTGGCATATTTACCGGTGGAAGTGAATGGATTTTCTCAAAATGAACTCAGTGATTTAAAACGTGATGAAGTTAGGAATGATAAAGCAATTTGTCAAAACGTTGGATGTGGAAGAATATTTTTATATACCAAACTTAGTAAAGCAAAGTTGAAATGTGAAATATTTAATGGTACTCAAATACGTCATTTAATGAAAAATACAGATTTTATCAAGATTATGACTGTTCCGGAAAGTTAAGCTTGTGAAAGTTTAAGTTGATAGTCGGAAACTTTCTTTGTTACCATAAAGCATCAGAATAAATATTAAGAATTGTGAAAAATATGCTGACAAATTTTTAGATTCTCGGAACAAATTTAAGTATCAAGTTAGACTATCTCCGCAACCATCTGGATAAATTTTCGCATTATCTACTAAATTATAGGGAGGAACAAAGAGAGCGTGTCACCAGGATCTAAAAGGGATAGAAGAAAGGTATCAAAGTGGGTGGGATCGCCATATAATGGCGGATTACTGCTGGCCATTGAAAAGAGATTGTCAACTGGAAAATTATTTAAGAAATGCTCATAAAAGGGGTTTTATTGAAATGTTTAATATGTTCTCGAGCTTTTCTTTCTGTTTACTTTGATGTATCTTTATTGTTCAAAACAAAACTGACATACATAAATATATCTCTTATTTTGTTTCATAGTATCTGATTTTTCACAATCTTACAAAGTCATTGATAGTTTCATGAAGTTGTCTATCTTAACTGAATGCTTTGTGCCACTCAAATACTTGGGTTTGTGAGAAAGCTGACTAGCCAAAACACTTTTGCAACATATTCAACGACTCCGTAGCCGTGATTCCATTGGACATACATCTGTGTTCATAAAAATAGCAGTGCTCATGAGCTGCAACTTTAAACTTAATTTTATGTATCAAAAAGTAAATGAATGTTCACAAATTTAATTTTGTTTTAACTTTGTGATTATTTTAAACAAAAACAAATCAATTTATTATTCAAAATGTTGTTAATTTTTTTTACATTATTAATATAAACAAAAAAGTGCTGTTTACAGCTGTTCATAAAAATAGCAGTGAGTAATGAAAACAGTATAATTAGTTGAAAAAAACATTGTTGAACTCCAAAAAACTATTTTAATTTGTTTGCTTGGGTTAGTACTTAGTCGTGTACCCATTATTTTTTATTACGGCCTGGCATCTGCGAGGCATAGAATCCACCAAGTCCTGGCAGCGCTTGACAGGGATCCCCTCCCATGATTTTTGAACAACCTCCCAAAGCTGTGATCGAGATGTTGGATTTGCATTTGCAACATATCGTTTAACATCTCCCCATAGGTTTTCAATTAGATTTAAATCCGGAGACTGGGCAGGCCATGACATAAGATCGATCCGCTTTGATGCCATCCAGCTTTTGACCA